CACAACCCCCTCGAGCATCTGCACCACTTTCCCCATACCCGGCCTCATCGAAGCCTGCTCCTGCACACACCAGAACGCAACCCGCATACACCTCTCCGCCTGCGCCGCCACATCAGCATCCTCCTCCTCCGAAACCCGACCATCCAAAACCGAGCCCACATTCCCCTTCTCAAACTCCCCGTACGCCCAAACCCAAAACCTCCTCCCGCCCGTCTCTCCCGACACCTCGAAATTTCTCCTCCCACTCACAATCTCCAGCAAAACCATCCCATAACTGTACACATCAGCCTTCGAGTTTATCGGGAGATTCGCAATCCACTCTGGCGCCAAGTAACCCCTCGTCCCCCGCACAGCTGTCATCAAGCTCCTCCGAGCCCTCTCGTCGTCCAATCGCGCGAGCCCAAAATCCGAAATCCGAGCATTGAAGCTTTCATCAAGAAGTATATTTTCGGGCTTTATGTCGCAGTGGAGAATGCAGTCTCGGCACTCCTCGTGCAAGTACGCGAGCCCTTTAGCCGTCCCGAGAGCAATGTTGTACCGTCGCTGCCAGCTCAGCACGACGCTCGTTTTCTCGAAGAGAATCGAGTCGAGTGACCCGTTTTTCATGAACTCGTACACGAGCATTCGGTGCTTGCCTTCCGAGCAGAAACCGATTAGCCGAACTAAGTTCAAATGGTGCGTGCTGCTTATAGTGGCAACTTCCATTCGGAACTGCTTTTCGCCTTGCCCGAATATTCCCTCCAATTTCTTCACGGCGATTGGGGTTTTATTCGGTAGAAGAAGGCCTTTGTAGACCGAACCGAATCCTCCACTTCCGAGCTTCTCTGTGAACCCTTTTGTTCCTTTATGAAGCTCCTTGTACGAGAATTGGATGGGTACACCCGAAGCATAATCCGAAAACGAGTAGTGCTGAGAAAGCAAACTATCGTATCCCGTTTTCGATCTTAAGTAAAGCCATAAAAAGCAACCGACTAATAGAAACAGAACGAAACCGGCAACTAGAACAATAACAGCAATCTCTAGCCTCTCGGATTTTTTGTCACTACCCCTTTTTCTAAGTGAATTTAACACGACGGGCCCACACACCTTGACGAAAGATGTCTCGGTTAGAGTAGGAGAATGGTAACCGCTCACGAAACCGGACCTTTTCATGTAACATACGCCCGAGCCATCGGCTAGAGAAGTCGACACCTGGCAGGTCGTGTCTGAAAGACAGTTAGAACTGCAAGCAGCAATATTTGCAGTGTAAAGCTCGGTATAAATCTCGGGAGGCAATGTCATAAACAGAGTATTATTCAAAGATAGGATAGTCGGTTGACAGTTCCGAATATCCTCTTTCCTCCTGCAGCCCTTTCGACTGTCATTCGGGTCGATCGGGTCGAAATTAGCAGACGGGCATTCGCAAAACGGGCCAGAGTTCGTCTCGTCATCATCATACCTACATATACCGAAATTACCACAATAGCCAAAAACTTCACATTGATCACTAACTGCAGTCCATCTAACATCCAAACCCTCACTAATTCCACTAGAACTGTACATTCTCATATTCCCATCACAATCCAATTTAACAAAATTGAAAAAACTCACTTCGCCGTATCGGTTGCTTCGGGCCATGATCAATGGGCCGGTCAAAAGGGTTGGGTCGGAAAGCGAAAAGATTCCGCCTTGCTGAACGGTTAAGCTCGGCGAGGTTAGATTCAGGTTGCTGGTGGTGGTAGTGTTAATCCCTGAGGAGGTGTAGTACACAATCGTGTTGTTCCACCTGAGGGCTATCTGGCCGGATCTCATCAGATGAAAGGAGTAAAGCCCACATGATAAAACGTGATTGGCGGTGAAATTTTGTCCGGGGAGAATCGTGTCCGTCGGATTATCGAAGGTGGACCAGACGGAGAGATTCCGGCGGTTCTTGAGGATGAAATTACCAGTGTCCTCGAGGGAGGCGGAGGTTACGCCCAAACCGGAGGTGTTGGACCGCCAGACAGGGAACTCGGCCGGGCCGGCGACGAGGAGGAGGTCTCCGTCAGGGAGGAAGCGGAGCTCGGCGGAGGAGTTGACGGCGCCGCCTGGGTCGCCTCCGGCTTTCCAGATTGGGAAGCCATTGTAGGTGACGGCGGCGGAGTACCTGCCGTCGGAGGTTCTGATGAAGGAAAGCGCGAAGGATCTGTTCGGGGAAACCCAGGACTGCTGTGGGTTCGAGGCGTACAGGGTGGATCCCGGAGGTATCTCGTCGGCGTTAATGGCGACGGCGGAAAGCAAGATTGAGGAAAGTAGGGAAATGTTGTAGAACAATGAGTTCATTTCTTGCTTTCTTTCCTTTTTGTTTTACCAATTGTTTAGCTGATGTTTGAGGATGAGATTGAAGTACGAGAAAGCGAAGATATGGGCCAAAAACACAGAGCTTGAGACAAGTCAAGACTCGGACACACAAGATTGAATTAATTGCAGGGAAAAATCATATTTTTCTGCACTATGACTATCAAGCATAAGATATTTCTCTGTTTTGGAGAATCAAATTTCAATGGCAAAAACACGAGTGGGAGAAAAAGAGATGTTCGTGGCTACTTTTTTCCCTTCCAATCATAATTAGACTATCCTTATCCCCAACTCAACCTAATCTAACTCAACCCAACCTAACCCAACCCAACTTAACAATTAAAAATTATTTCTCTTACACAATCCAACTTTACAATTTAATTTATCTTTATCCCCAACCCAACTCAACCTAAATATTTATTTTATTTTAATTTATTTAAAAATTACAATTGTGTTCTAAAATATATCATATGTAATCTCTATTTGTAGAGAATGAAAAAATATGAATTTTAATATTTTTTTAAATACAAAAAAAATACATTTATCTAACAAAAATGGAACAAATGTCACATTATTTTCCAATATCCGATCGCGACCCGAGGTCACATTGTGGCCTGGGTCGCAACAATTTGTGACCTTTTCCCTTTTTTTTCTATTTTTTTTTTTGTTTTATTCCCGTGACCCATTCATTGGGTCACGGATAAAGGTAGTCTTACAAGTTATCAGTCTAATAGTTAGACGGGTTCTCATAATTTTATAGTTAAGGAATTCATGTTTGGGTTACTACCATTTCAATCTAACAGTAAAACATCCCGACCAGAAATCGAGCTCGAGCTCCTATCTCGAGCTATAACAAGTCGAATTATAAAAATTATATAAAAATTTTCTTTTCAAGCCTTATCGAGTCGAACTCAGCTTGGCTCGTTAACCAAACGAGTTTTATATGAGCTCGAGCTCAACTTGTTAAGGCCTCGAACTCGAACCGAGCTGAGTAATCCCGACAAAAAACAAACGATGGTCGTTGGCTTGTGTGAATGAATCATAGTCAAATTATTTCCTTTTCGGATTACTACTCCAATCGAACAACAAAACAACTCAGTTCAAGAACTCAAGAATAAGAATAGTAAGCTAGTGTGAGTTTATTCATCAATTTTTTTTAGTAAAAAAATTATTCAAAACATTTATTTAAGTTTCTTTTAATTATGATATTGGAATATGAACATTTAAATAACGCGTTACACATCTAATCTTAAATAGTGTAATGTCTTAAAGCCATGTTTATATTTCCATTTGCAGTTTTTTCTTT